AAAATTAATAATCTATTCATTGAGACGATTCCAACAAGTACTTACAAGGGTATATTTTTTTTATGTATAAATCACAAACATTAGTCAAAGTAGAACAAATAAATAGTGCAAAAAATAAAAATGGAGCAAGTATTTAAAAATGAAGGGAGTATATACTAATTTTCGGGACCTTTTTTTTGGGGAGCCCTATTCTGTCGCCCACCTTGCACCGACCCAGCCCCACCACTGTGTATCAGTTTCGGGTGGGAGGATTCACTTTGAAATAGACTCATACAATACTTTGTGAAATCAAAATTAATCATCTTTAAAAAAAAAAAAAAAAAAACTAAATTAACAGTGAATTGGATGACTTATTGTGTTATTGACTTGACTTAACATTGGGCGGTTTAGATAGGATGAGATGAACATACACAAGCAGTGATTAGGGGATTTTTCCCCACCAATCACCATCTGACAAGTGGACCCATCAGGTTCCGCCATGTGTCCGTCACATAGGCCAATAGGAGCCTGCCACGTGTCAAGCAATGATCCGTCCACTATGGACCAATTACGACACGACACGTGTCCTTCCCATGACACTTGGGATAACCGGTCACCTAGGCCCAACTTCCGAGGGAAGCCCAATCAGCCCAAGGTTAACCTAAACCTAGATTGACACGTTTCCCGAGGTTATAAATACCTCCCTTAATCCTCATTAAGGGAGATTACGCTAAAAACGCAGATTACACACATTAAACACTCTCACCTAGAGAGACCCAATCACTTTAATTTCCGCATTAATTACTCCTTAATCAAGTACTAACTTGACCGTCGGAGGCGGATCTCCAATCATCCGGAGCATCCGTTTGTTTTGCAGGTACAGGCGTCCGGTTCCAGTCTCGGAATTGTAACTCTCCCGCAGGACATCAGAAAACCCCGAAACAAGCAGTACAGATGTAATAATCAAACACATGTTTAGTACTGTAGCATTCATTGATTAGTATGAACTCCGTACAACATGCAAACGTAGTCCGTACAAGGGTAGCTCAACTTCATTTTCAGATTTTAGGGTCTTATTTAACGTCGGCAAACAATTTAGTTCTACATTTTTACCTGGTTTGTATAAGTTGAATTAACATGTCTTATATTAGATTGAAGAATAAGTGGACAAAATTTTGTAGTTATAGAGCAAAAGGTGTTATTACTCACATGTGTAGTCTTTGACATGTTTTGTCCTTTGAATTATAATGAAAACGAACTTCTTTTTGTAAGAATGCTTTTCATTCTCTAGTTGTTAATTTTTTAGCTATTTTATGAAGTTAAAATGGCCAACTTAATGAATGGTTGTAGTATGATGAGCTTAAGTTGTGCTCTAGCTACTATATATTCTTCGTTTGAGTTGATGAATTTCAAGTGATAAGTATAAATGAAATAAGCTGTTCAAGGATTGCAACAATTTGTTTGGGATGAATTTGAGCTAGAATGAAGCAAAACGTCAACAAAAGAGCTAGAATCGATAAAAACTAAGTCATGTTCACTTTTTACCTCATAACTTTTGATCTTCAAATGAACATGGAGTGATTTTTAATTTTGTTGGAAACTAAATTTAAAGAGATTTCCAAAAATAGGTCACATGCCAAATTCTAACAAGAAACAAGAAAGTTACAATGTTTTGAAGACAAGTTGTTTGTGGCATGATGATATTGTAACCTAGGCCACCCGATTAGACAAGATTGTTTGGTCTGATCAAATGAAGTTTGTTTGGAGATGTAACTTTGTTTGTAAAGAAGATTTCAAGGTCAAGTTTATGCCTGACAAGGAGAGACCGGTAAGGTAAGGCAAACCTTTGCAAGGCTCAGAATCTTACTTTTTGGGGGAATTTTAATCCTTTAATTTTCTTTTAAGTACTCCTTTTAAAGTATATGTACTTATAAAACATCCTTTGATAGATGCAAACTAAATTGGCCTCAACACTCTAAAATATGAGATGATCTGAATTCACCCAACACCATGTTCTAGTTGTCAAAGCATCACTAACTAATGACGAGGTGTAAAGTGTGTCTTTAATGAACATCCCGGCCACTGATTATTTCACCATAGCCGGTGAATATTTTATTTTATTTTGTTCTTTTTGTAATTTTTTTTAACCCTAACCTAAATATCACATAATGATACTCTCTTTTCAAATTTACTTGCTCTGATTCTTCTCTCACTTTATTTAACCAAGCTTTCCAATTCTTCCTCAATTTGAAAACCCTAAAAATTTTTGAATTCAATTTTTCCCCAATTCAACCATGAGCTCAACATCATCGTCATCGTTCAATAATGATAAATTAAATTCAAGTGGTACCCGTGATAGGTTGTATTGTGGACATCAATTACCTGTTGTACTTTGTACCACGTGGAAGTTCAACGAAAACCAAGGAAAATGTTGCTATGCATGGGTAGTCGATGGTTCTTATTATTTTTGTTAGATATGCAACCATTAATCAGTATATATAATAACTAAATTCAAATTTAGAATAGAACTTGCACAAAGAAGTTAATTTACCATTACACAAGAAGTTCAATTCATGAAAGTCAAGTGTTGAAGAAACCAACATAGTACTTCATATAAGTTAGGTTATGATCGAATATCATCATATTAATTTTAAGATGGTTTTAAGTCAACAATTCGTTGTAAATCATCATTACATAGAACTAGTATATATCTAAAATATAAGTATATGCATAATCTAGTGTTGTTGAGGATTCTAATGAACAATAATGATAATGATAGTCTAAAGTATGTGTGTACACATTATTCTGGTATTGACGTGGAGATTAGAGGGAAGAATTTTATGGGTTGGCTTGGATCATTTGACTTTGACTAGTATTTTATGGGCACTAATTAATAACACCTTCATAGTTGTAACCTCTAACAAGTACTCCTACTTTATTGAGTTCATATATAAGTGCCAGATGGGAACGCGTACGGCGTATGGTGTACGGATAAAGGACAGTTGCTGATGCAGAGTTTATTGGGAAATGGGGTGTCTTACTGTCCTAGTGGCTGGTGCAGGCTATGTAAATTGTAATGTACGAGTACGTGAGTACAATTATGTGAATTTTGAATTTGCTTATTTTATATATGAAGTACAGAGTGAATAATTAGATCAGATTAGATTAGATTACACATTAGACAATAAGGTATATAGAATTGAAAATTAGATAATACATTCGGGTGCACCAGCACCCGGGTAAACAAAAAAAGGCGGAAAGAACATGTAGTGTTTAATAAAGAACATACCTATGTTTGACAAAGTACATACCTTTAATATGTTCTTTGAGTGTGATCAGTGTGTTCTTTGAGTAAAATTATATGTTTTTTACATTATAACTTATGTTAATTAAATGTTGATAAACATAAATGTTTTTTTGGGTTTAATAATACAAAGTATGTTCTTTGAATTTGACGTGTATGTTCTTTAAGGTCGTAGTGACGCCCAAATTCTATTTTTATCATCTCATGTCATATTTAATTTCCTTTTATTATCTTATCTTCTTTGAGTTTGATTAGTGTGTTATTTAGGTATTAATTATATGTACTTTACAATATAAATTATGTTCTTTTAACATATGTTATTTTGAAATTTGATATTGAAATCTTAAATTATTTTTAATTGAAAATAATATTAGAGTAAAAAAAACTAAATTATCATGGGAAGTTGAATTTTTTTTGGAGAGATAGAAAACTATTTTTGGGGGAAATAATATCTTTGGTAAGGATTTTTTAAGAGGAGATCAACATTGGCATGACTCGCATCCCGACCCGATCCGGCCCGAAATAGGGTGGGTTTGGGCAAATCTAAAAATGCATTTTAAGTTAAAACTCGAACCGGGCTCGAAAAAAACCCGATAACCCGCTACTTTTCTACGGGTTTGGGCACGAGAAATTATGATATGGCCCGGCCATACTCGATTTTTTATCACCTCTAAATTTTTTCCGTTACTAATGTGTAATTTTTCAGAAAATTTTATTAAGTTTTTATCTCGTTCTTTTTATTATATCTGTATGTTCTTTGGTAATGCATGTTTTTGTCAAATACAAACATGCTCTTTGTCAAATACATGTATGTTCTTTATAAAACACAAGATGTTCTTTCCGCCTTTTTTATATATATCCGGGTGTACAATGAGCACTGTACATCCGTGTGTATAAACTACGGATTAATATAGAATAGATTATAGATATTAAATTAGTTATTGGCATGGGCAATGCCCTGGATGAACATTTTAAATTTGTAAGTTTGATCAACATTAAATTAGAAGGTTAATGTTCAATTGTATGTACTATTTTACTCCCTCTGTTTTATTTATTTATTTGTATCACTTTTTTTTTTGGGGTATTTTTTTTTCTTATTTTTTTTGACATATGCTAAAACAAACTACACTACTAAACACCACTAAACATTATTAAAAGACAGTAAACTAGTATTAGTCGTCGTTTCCCGCAAATGTGCCTTTTGCACCTTGATCTTGTCTACCTTTTGAATGCTACACCAGGAGAAGGTTGATCCCAAACGAAGAATCTGATCCACTGTCCATCTTAGATCAACGTCGATGTTGCTTTTATTCCTCAACATCCTAACCATATTCTCCGAATCCGTGTAAATTGTTATCGATGTTAGATGTTGAAGAGCTCCCCACTTAAGACCATGGATACAAGCATGCATCTCAATTTGCACGGCGAACTGAGCTAGGCCATATGTCGCATCTCTGATACCGTCGAACTCATCTTCCTCCACCCCATCTGGACACCACCCCATTCCTGATCTCCTTGTCTGCTTATTCCAGAACCCATCAACTTGTATCAAAGTTGACCCTTCTTAAGTTCCATCATTAGATAGAATCGCCCGCATGAAACCTGGCGGGTGATCATGGAAACTCTCTAGAGGGTGCAGGCAGCGTAAGGTCGTCTCTCCATTACCGGTAAAAAGATCATGTTGACGCAATCCCTCTGAAATAATTGCCGGAGTTGACTACACATTCAACCTTGATCTCCTAAAAACCCTGTTATTCCTAGCGTTCCACAAACCCCACAAAGTGGCTAAGAAGAAGGTAATCCTATGGCCTTGTTTCCTATCCAAGCTAAGGTAAAGCTGGATATAGTACAGAAACCAATCTACAAAGGATTGGTCTGCATTATCTTCTAAGTGGATGCCTAGTATTCCACCCCTCCAAATATCTTTTGGCTTCGTATAAAAACCTGAACATATGTTGCATATATTCCTCCAATCCTCACAAAGATCACAGTAAACTTGAATATCCAACCCTCTTCTACCCAGGTTACCTCTTGTCGCCAAACCATTATGGAGTAATTTCCACACAAAAAGTTTCCATTTGGGAAGTATATGGAGAGCCCAGAAAACTTTATAAAACTCCAAAACCGCCCCATTTCCTATCCAAGACTCCAAACCTTTAACAAAAGCATAACCCGTTTTAACCGTATAACGGTCAGACTTATGATCTAACCAGTACATGTAGTCGTATACCTCCGTCACTGGCACTTCCATTGATGCTATAAGAGTCGCATCCCTTAGATTAAAACAAGAATTGAGTCTTCTGTGATTCCACCCTGTACCATCTTGGTCTAACAAATCCCTAGGCTTCCAATTCCAAATCTCGCTCGTCGTATCCAAAGAGTGCGTTGTCGATATCTTCCCTTCCATCCACCTATTTTTCGTAGCCATAATTGTTTCCCCATTCCCAAACTTCCATCCACACCCCTGAACCAAAATGTTCCCAACTTTAACTAAGCCTCTCATTCCCCAAGAGTAGGGCCTTCTTCCCAACGACGCTGGTTTCCTTATTTGAATATGACTTACAAAACGTGCCCTACACACCTTAGACAACAAAAGATGAGGATTGTTACTTACTCTTCATACCTGTTTCATAAGAAGAGCACTATTCAAGCAAACCAAATTGCGCAATCCTAATCCTCCCATACCCTTAGGAAGTTGAATTGTGTCTCTATTAACCCAATGCATACCCTGTCACCCCATAGACGCCCAGAAGAATCTTGACATAAGTGAATCCACTTTGTTAGCAATATAAACTGACATCTCAAAACAAGTAAGGACATTGGCTATTAATGCTATCAGCACAGAATTAATCAAAATTAGCTTTTGGGATTGGGAGAGGGGAACTGCATTCCACCCAACAATCTTCTTACTAATCTTATCCACAATGAAATGAAAGGTTGTTGCCTTTTTTCCTACCATGTCAATAGGCACCCCCAAATGCGGATCCAGCTGACTAACCTATCTCATGCACAAAATGTATTTAAACATTCTTTGATCAATGAGAGGAGTATTGGGGCTAACTTTGAAGTGCAATTTTCCCAAGTTTAATTGTTGTCCAGAAACTTTGCAAAACCTGTGTAAGATATTAGTGACAGTTTGACAGCTACCTTCCGTTGCCTTGAAAAAGAGAAGGGCATCATCTGCAAAAAATAAGTGGGAAATAGAGGGGCCTCTTCTTGCTAGTTTAATGCTCTCAAACATCTTCAAAGCACAACCTATATCCAACATTCTTGAAAGTATATCCATACAGAAAAGAAATAAATAAGGAGATAAAGGATCTCCCTAACGTAATCCTCCTGTGGGCTTGAAATGTTGAGACATATCTCCATTTAGTAGAACTCTTTATGAAACTGTAGAAATGCACTGATGGATCATGTGAATCCAGTGAGGAGGGAACCCATAGGCCTATAAAACTTGTAGTAAGAACGTCCAATTTACCCTGTCATAAGCCTTGCTCATATCAATCTTGACCGCCGCCAGAAAAATTTTTCCCCTCCTCCTCTTATTTATCATATCTAATACCTCATGGCTCAAAATAATATTATCTGTCATTTGTCTCCCAGTAAGAAATGCTTGTTGAGTCTTTGAGATCAAGTCCAGCATAACATGTTTCAACCTGCTAACTAAATACTTGGACACGTACTTATAGAAGCGTTCTCAGGCGACTCAACTTTAGGAATCATAACCAGAATGGAATGATTCCGTTCTTTCAAGAGAAAACCTGTCTTTAAGAAACTCTTGGCCGTAAGAGTAACTATCTGACCCACCGTATTCCAATGTTTTTATAAAAAACTCCGCCGTAAAACCATCTGGCCCCGAGATTTTGATCCATTGAGGCTAAACATCGCTCTCCTTATCTCCTCGTCAGTAAAATCTTTGTCCAAATGGGCGAGTTGTGAAGGTAACATCTTTGGGATATCTAACTCCCTCAACACCATTGTCGTGTCATTACCTTGGTGTAACGATTGAGAAGTACAAAGCACTTTTTTCATTGAGTCCACCACCAAATTTTTTATTGTTATCGAGTCCTCCTCCCAGTTTCCATCTACATTCTTTAGTGTCAAAATCTGGTTTCTCTTTTGTCTAACCTTCACCCTTGAGTAGAGTAAAGAGGTAGGGAGATCCCCTGTAGAGATCCATCTTTCTTTCAATCTCTGGTTCCAGTATGCAACTTGCATTGCCGTCAAATTCAATTCTTCATAAACAAGTGTGACATAGTGTAGACACCTACTTTTGGCCTCTTGTCCCGAAAGGAAGTGCGATGATGTTACAAAAATCAGTTCTTCATGTTAGATCAAAGTTGAAATGTTTATGGACTATGAAAAGCATTATGAAGTAAGTTAAAACCCATATTTGAGACCAAGTTATCTTATATCCTTTTCCGATTACTAATTAGGCCTAAAACGTGTTCATACATGTTTAAACTTGATTAATAACGGACCCAAATGCGTCAAATGCAATGATTGGATCCAATGGAACCTACATTGTTGAAAACCGAGACAAACAGATAAACAAACCATCAAATTCCCGTTCAAATCCTATACATATGGATATCCCTTTCAAAGAGTTTTCCAACAGTATATTATAATCCCAACTCTGAGCCAAAACGAAGAAGTTATGATAAAAACACTAAACCGGGCCCTAAAACCGACACCCTTGCACTCCAACGGCCATTACTTTTGATCCATAACGTAGTTTAACCTAATTCCAATGGCATTGAATCTCACACGCCTTAATCCAACTTCGCAATCAAAAGTTATGGAAGTTTTAAAAACGCGTTTTCGTATAAGGCAAACCGCAAACCGCCGCAACTCAATTAGTTGCGCAACTCATTGAGATGCGCGCTGCACCCACCGCGACTCAGAGAGTTGCGCGCGCCACCTGACGGCGCGGCTCTAAAACCCTAAACCTAGATCCCTAATCCTATAAATAGGGGTATTCGTTCAGCATTGCGGGGACCAAAAAATTCAGAACTAAAACCCTAGTATTCTCACAACCATAATCTCTCAACTTCTCTTACTATATCATACTACTTTTTCTTCTCTCTTCTCAAATACTTTCAAATCCTAATTGAATCCATTGAAGTCCTTGGAGGTAAAAAGAATAAAGAAAGTCCATAAACACATTAAAACGGAGATTTAACATAAAAGAAGAACAGTTAGTTTCATGAGCACTTAGATAAATCACTTTTCTTCTATTGTTTAAATCTTTAATTGATTAATTAGTGTTGTTTGATCACTTTAAACATACTATTAATTAATTAATTCACTTAGTACTCTTTCTTTAATCAAGACTAGAATTTGAATAATTAATTGTTGTTTTATCACTTAAGGCAAGGCGAATCTTGTTTATTTATTGTTCTTTCACGAATATTATTAAATAAGAATAACGAATTTTGCAATGTAATTCCTACATGTTTAATGCTTGTAAATAAAATCAACTAACTTAGTCTTTATTTATCACGTTGCTTATATTGTTTGGTAATGAAATTGTGAAAAAGGAAGAGCTAGTAGAGGTCGTACTAGGGCTAAGATAGCAAATCCCCTCGCTCCCGAACTCATTTCTGGTTTATGTAGATCTACATACTATTAATTGATCTACATTATCTTAGTACCCTCGCTCCCGAACTCATTTCTGGTTTATGTAGATCAATTTGGGCATGGGTAAACTTATGATTTGTGCTAATTATTCCGTTAACTCCACATGGAAGAAAGGCATGAACGAGGTTTATGAGTTTTCCTAAAACTCATTGGCGACTCCTACTTGTTTCTTACAAAAAAGCGTGATGAGAGTATCATTTCTAATTCAAGGTCTCCCAAACAGTCAGGAATTCAAATCCTAATACACCCTAACAAGTGTAAAGCCGTAGGTTTTTATGTGGCCATGGTCATTTAAGGAGTGGACTCCTTACGATGGGAACCCCCTCCTTACAGTGGCGACTCCGCTGGGGACTTAGAGGTTACAAGATTAGTTCGTAGTTATGGTTCAAGGTTCCCAACACTAGGTTGCCTATGGATTGTAACGAGAACTAACTTGGATAATCCCTAGTTAGAGAGCGAGACTCGAACGCATATATCTTCCTTTTTCACAAAAGTAAAAACCAAACAAGCAACATTGCATCGTGCATAATCATAGCACAGTTTAACCATTGGGGATTGACTCATTGACTAGGGGTTGCCAACACTAGGCTTCTATCCCAAAATCAATAACAATCATCCCACCCATATCGCCAACAAAATGTTGCGAGGGCTATGTCGTGGGTCAACACGTTGAGTGATTGATTCGTGTATCGTCCCTTAAGATATGGTACCTTTGGATACGCAAGCCTTGACCTTAGAATGACATTGTATGCTTTGACGGTTCCTTTTATGTGCTTTTGTGACTACATGAATTTGTGTTTCATGTCTAATCTAACTAATTCCAACTTGTTACCTAGAGATATAATAAAAAAAAAAATCGCAAAAATTATGGTTCGACAAAAAAAAAATGTTTATCGTTCTTTTTGCATTTTCGCAAAAAAAAAAAAAAAAAAAAAAAAAAAAAAAAAATTGAACCTACCAGGTGGCACGCGCAACTGTCAAAGTTCTGAAGTTGCGCGTGGCACCTCCGCGCAAGTTTTGAAGTTGCGCGTGGCACCTCCGCGCAACTCTGTGTCATGCGCGCGCCCACTGTTCAACGTTGACTTTGACTCATTACGAGCAATATCATACGGAGAAAACGAAACTACCGCTTCAAGGTTAATCGTTAAGTAGGTGCTAAAAATATCTCTTTGGCTAACAACATTGTCTAACTTTTACTACGATAGTCTTTTTTCGATAAACATGTTTTTTTATCGTCTTTTTGCGTTTTTGCAAAAAAAAAAAAAAATTATCGTTCTTTTTTTGTTTTCGCATAAAAAAAAATAAAATTGCGTTTTCGCAACATTAAAAAAAAAACCGCATGTGGTAGATGTTACTCTTGAAGATGCACTCTCCACCTTAGCGCAAGACGGTAAATTGCACGCGATACTATTTTTTTATTATGATGATTCATTTACGTACTTGATAATCGAGCTAATGACATTATTTCTTATGAGGTTCGTCATTAGAAGTTCGCATCCGTTAATAGGACGTCATCAATATGTTTATTCTTAAACGTGTCTATTTTTGTGTTCATCATTTTTTTAGTTGTAATTGGTCAACCTTGATTTAAGAGTATAATTTATTTACCCCTTCTATGGTTTAAAAAGAAAATCCCGAGAACTTTACTTGGGATGATTGCCTCACACAAAAAAAAAAAGAGAGAGAGAAAAATAGAACGAAAAAAAAGAAATGTCATTCTAAAAAAAAGAGAGAGAGAGAGAGAAGATAATGAATGATAAAACCGAGAAAATGATTTAATTATTTCTTGGATTTTACATTCAGAGGCCATCATTCTTTTTAAACAAATAGTAATATATTATCCTTTAAAGGTAAGAAGTATGAGAATCATAATTTTTTTTTTAAAAAAAAAAAAGATATTGATCTCTATTGTAATCTAAATGATCAACAAATACTACAGTATATTGATCATTTTAAGGAGTACGTTCAGGTTGATTAATATTCCTAAAATTTGATGAGCATTTTCAATCCAACTTTCTTGACTTTCTCTTCTACCTTTTTCGAAAATAATTCATTTAAAGTAAAATCCTTAGATGATTACCTTGTTGAAGTCAACACAAATCATGACATTCCATTAATGATTGTTCGTGAAATTTTTTTTTTTACATTCTTCATCAACAAACTTGCTTAAAGTGAATTCGTATTACAAGGATTAAAAAAAAGAAGCAAAACAATCATTTTGACTTTGATTCATTGTTTGAATGCTTGACTAAAAAGGTTTAAGTGAACGCGCTCAATTTCTCATGACACATATTACTAAATCATCTTCCACATTCGCATAATAGTCCAATCATGAGTGACACAGCAGCATTGGAGAAACTTAGAGAGGAACTCCAAAACCTAAAGGCCCTACGAGAAGAAGAAACCCAAATGAAGGCTCATAAAAAAGCAAAAAAGACTAAAATAAAAGTAGAAAAAGAAAAAGAAAACATTCTGCAAGAAAAAGCAAGAGCCGAAAGAGTAGAGGCCTTGGAGAAACTTGTCCTTCGAGCTAACTCAGAGAATAAGTACTTCAATTATGAGCTTGCACCACAACCTAGTGGCAAGACTCTCCCAGAAAAGTTCTTTACTATGGATTTGCCAACCTTTAAGGTTACAGACAATCCTAGGACTCACTTAATGAGCTTTATTGGAATTATGGCATTGAAAGGGGCTGAGCCAAGCCTATATGCATGTACTTTTCCTCTTTCATTGGACCCAACTACTAGATCATGGTTTTATAACCTCGATGCAAAACAAACTTCCACTTGGAGTGACGTTGTAAAGGCGTTTTTAACCCAATATGGAGATAACATCGAGCTCACAACTACCTTGCGTGATCTCGAATTGCTTAAGCAAGGGGAAGAAGAAGGCTTCATTGACTTCTTTTCTAGGTGGCGATCAAAGGTTGCTCTTATTCCACAAAGACCTCTGCATCACTACCACAAAATGTGGAATAAGCAACACACAATACATAATTGTTAAGTTTCACAGGCGATCCCTAGCATTATACAAAGCGCCTATGTAAGATAAGTGTTCCGTAGGTTGAAACCTATAGAGCGCCTGTCTAAATTAACAACTCTATATGATATATCCAAATATAACTCTATATGATATAGATCGCCCCTTATAGATAACCGTTCTATAAGTATAATATATTGAGAAATAAAAAAAAAGGAAAAAAAAATCTTCATATTCCACAATTCCACTCTAACCCTACTTCATAATTTCCTAAGCCGCCACTTCCCACTTCCCTCATCTCTCTCCTCATTCCCTCCTCTAACCTTGACCCCTCTCTCCTCTAGCTTCAACCCTTAATTAGCAGTCACTTCTCTCCCCACCACGCACACACACAACAACAACCCTTTATACCACCATCACTCCTTGCTTTCCAACTCTAACTCCGATGCGGCGCGGTGCTTTAAGGTTCGATCATGGTGGTTTTTTTTTGTTTTTTTTGCGAAATTGAAATCGTGATGATTTTTGGGTGGTTTGTTTTGCGAAAGTAAGATCGTGATGATTTTTAGGTTCTTTGGTCGCAAAAGTCTGATTGTGGTATT